ACCCTCTACCAGTTGCCTATGGACCCATTTGGGAATTTTCCCACAGAATGGGTTATTTTGGAGTTAAAAAAGCTGAACTGAAACTGTTCATGGCAAGACTGAGTTTCAATGAATTGCCCAAAGTAAAACATTTTTGAAGTGGGTGGGGTGGGGGGCAATGTTGGCATTGTTAATAAATCCCACTTTTGACATTCTTAAATGATAAGCTTCATTTTTGGTTTAAAATGCCCTTTTCCCAAAATTTAAATTAATTTACATATTTAAAAGTTATGAAAATAAGTCAAAATGAAAAATGAAACATCTTAATTGAGGCTATCCAAGATTTTTTCCTCAGATAATCAGTTCCCAGGTAGTTTTGAGAGTTTTATGCTTTCCATCCCAGGTTAAGACAGAAAAAAAAAATCAAGCTCTTGAAAGGACAACAAAACCACTTCCTGCCCAGCTCTAACAGCAAATACTTCCCCCCACAACTTACCTCTCGAGCTTGCTAGTTGTTCCAGAGTCTTTGATAGGTTTAAGTTCTGGGCTTGCAGAAGCTCCAGCTGCTGCGTGAGGTTTTCTTGCATTTCTGTTTCACTCATTAGGTGGGACACCTGAGTAACTTCAATTCACAATACAACTAGAATGAAATTGTTCCATTTAATATTCAAGTGAACTATATCACACACAACTGCATCTATTTTGAATTCTGTCATCAAGAAAGTCACCTATTATTGCCCCTGAAATTGCTTCACTCTTCAGAAATGTAGGAGAATGAAGCCAGATGGGTTTGAGCTGAGTAGGCATGGCCTGTGATCAAATACAGGGAAACTGAGGAAGAAAGATCAAGTGATTGCCCAAGGTCACAGAGCAAGGAATAATTTTGAGCTTCCCTCACCCTCAAAGCTAAATCGTCCCTGTTCAGTGTATTCCAAACATTTTTATATTATTAACATTAAAACTTCCTGCTAATACTTACACTTGACAACTAGGACACCAGCTGTTGCCATGAAACCCATGCAAAAGAACCCAAGGATCACTGCCACAATTCGCCAATAAGGAGATGGAGTTGGAGCATCTAAGATAAATAATAAAGAAGGCAATAGACAAAAATATGGATACTTTTAGTTCTCTGACTGAAAGTAGTCCTAATCTAATGGTTATGCAGTGATCCTCAAACTATATTAAATGAGTGTCAGGATTTCAGTTAATTTCATAGGAATATTTTACTAAAGCTGCCATCATAATTTTGTTACATAGTAACAGTCCCACCCTCCATTAGTAGACAAAGGGTAGATGAAGGTATTTGGGCAGGTTAAGGGGAGGTTAGATCACATTTAACATGGCCACTTGATCTAACCTAGTTTGCCTAGGTACAGTCCTTACACTTAGATCCCTAGTTAAATTGATCTAAATGTGAAGTATACAGAAGTTCCAGGAACTGTAGATTAGTCTAAAAATGGCTGACCCAATCTAAATTAACCCTGCCCCCAAGGAAACCTAACTTAGATTGGGCTGGACATTTTTAGATTGATCTAACTGTCCAAAACTTCTGTACAGTTCCCAGCGTAGCCCCAGGACTAGGAAAGCTCAGCTACTGGCCCCAGCCACAGCACCAGGGCTGTGCTTTTCCTACCTGCCCCCTGGCACCAAGCTACTTTTAGCACTCTGGCCCCTCGCCTCACCCCCAGATGAACAACCTATTCCCCAGGACCAGCCAGTTCCCCCTCTGCCCCCCACCAAGCCCCACATCCCAGAAGTTGCTCCCAGTGCCAGTTTTATTAGCATTTGCAGATGCTGGGAACCAAGAAAGTAAGTCTTGGTGGAGAGAAGGCCAGGAGGGATGATAGGGTAGGCTTACTGGAATGGGATGGGGGGGGGCTAAAAATAGCCCCAGGTCCTGTGGGGTGGGGGAGAGACCCCCCCCATCCCTGCCGTGGACTTCCTTGATCCTGCTAAACCCTCCACCAACCCCCCATGTACCTCACTTGGCCCCCTTGATCCCCCTTGCAGATGCTGCCTCCTCCCCAATCTCCCTGATCCTCCTACAGATCCTGCTGGCCTCCGATCCCTCCCGCAGATGCCCCCTGCCTCACCCAATCCCCCTAATCCATCCTAAATCCCTGCTGCAGGTGCTACATGTACCCACAATCTCTCCCATGGATTCCTACCTGCCTTCTGATCCCTCCGATTCCCTTAGTGGGTCCTGCCTACCCCTCCAAGGACCCAGAGACCCCCCAATCTCCCAGAGTCCCTGCAAGCCCGCTTAAACTCCTGATCCCTTCAATCTCCTCGCTAGTCTCCCCCCACCCCAACTTACTTTAGAGCAGGTGGCCATTATTAACTTGATCTAACCTCCCCAAATGTCTGTATCTAGTCAGAAGCTATAGACTGAATGTGCCATGGAACAGCCAGTTGCATTCATATATGTGTGGGTCTCAGTGTATATACTGCATTAATCAAATACATTACTTGAATGCATTAACCAAATGCATTAATTGAATACATCATTTGAATGCATTGAATGTATTAATTTAATTATAAGTATGTTTTAATACAATTTAATTAATTAAATTTTATTTATTAACACATTAATGATGTGATAATGATATTATATTATTTATATTATATTACATTACATTAGATTTTAATACAATTATTTATATATATATGCATGTATGTGTGTGTGTGAGTGTGTATAGTATAGTATATAAGTGTATGTGTGTGTGTGTCTGATTTTTTGAACTGGCCATAAAAGGATACAGATGACTAATGCAACATGGAATGTAGATATGTAAGAGCACACATATATTAGTAAAGCTATGTGCACATGTATGCATATATAAAACAAAAAGTGAGCAAGAATTTCAACCATGATTAGTGATGCTGGATACCTTTATTTTGAGTGCATAACTTGAGATATTTGCAGGATTCCTGATTTTCAGAAAATAGCTACTGAAACACACACCCTCTGAAAATGTTTTGTTTGTTTTTTTATATAAGGTATCTCAAATTGAACACCACCCAAAAACAGTGACCCAAAACTACTAAGCACTTTTGAAAATCTTGACCATACAGGCACAAACAGACATGTTCTCCCAGACTGTGAATCTGCAGGTGCACACAGAGTACTCAAACAGAGGCTAGAAACTTCTACTTGCATATGTGCCCCCATGCTGGGAAGCAGGGGAATCACACACAGGGGTCTCCCCTCCACATTTGCAGATGCATGCAGGAAAATATCTCTTTAGGGGGGACCCCTGAGCATGTCTGCAAACCCAGAGGGGAGAACCCTGTGAGAGTTTGAGGGGTCCAATCCTGAGTGGGGTTTTCCCTGCCCAGCCAGACCTGCTCCCCTGCAATTGCGGGGGACAGGTCTGGCTGAATGGGGAAACCCAACTTCCCCACTTATGGAGAAGCACCCTGAGATTCCCAGGGCTGATTCCCTGTAAGCAGGGAAAGCAGGAAGGTATTCCAAGGACCTAAGGGGCCCTTAAGCCCCCCGGGTACCTTGCTGGGGTGGTGGGAGAATACATGCAGTTCAGGCTGCTTGTGCTCTTCTGCCACAGAGGTAATAGATATCCACTACAATAAAACAGCAGAATCTAATACCACCTTTTGTTGCATCACTGATTTCCTTTGATGTGGGATGACAAAGGGTATCAATGTCTATTTTTTTCACCAATTGTGCCACTATAAATTTTTTATGGTGGCACTACTGAGACATTAGGTGACGTCTGTTTCCACACATGGAGACACAGGTAGACAGCACATGCTTGAATATATAAATACTGACTGAACACATATATACGTGCACAAAGTTAAAGACTGAATTTCCTATCTGTTTCTCTGGTTCCTTTTATCAGAACCCAAAATGAAAAGTCTGAGCTGGAATACTTCATTATGCTGAAGGCGTCAGATGAAATAACAGAGATCCAACACACCCAACATCTGGATTAACCCATCACCCCATCACTGTCATCACCCCAAGATACCAGGGTCTCCATGGAGACCAGCCAGGACCCATGCAGGCAGGGTGAGCAGCCAGGTGGAGAGGATGGGGCCATAGGCAGGCAGGGAGCTGCATCCAGGGCCAGGTCCAGGATCTTGGGGTGGTGGCAGAATGGGACTGGGGCCTAGGATAGAGCCACGATCTGCTCCCCAAATACCTCTGCCCAGGAACCTATGCCCTTCGCAGGGCTGTGCAGGCAGTGAATCACAGCTCTGCCTTGGCCCCAGCAGTGGCTCTGCACTGTCACCACCCCACAATCCTGCCCCATGATCCTGGCCTTGTCTGCCCATCCCACTCCTGAACACCACTCCCTACCTGCCCACAGCCCCGCTCCATTTGCCTGCCAATGTGCCCTGCTGTGTGGGTCCCACCCCTTGCAGTGGGTGTGGAGTGGACTTATTGGGGTGGCTGGATAGTGGGCCTGGGTCTGGCAGCAGCAGCAGCCAGGAGTCACCACTGCCACCACCAGAGCTGCTGGGAAGCAAGTCCAGCTGCTGCACTGCCCCAGCCCTGCTGCACACCCGGAGGTGGTGCAACTACCCATATGCACCATGGCCCAGGCTGCCCCTGTGCCTGAGTTGGGCACGACTGAGGGACCCAATGAACAAAATCCTTCAGTGGGCCAGATCTGATCTGTGAGCCATATTTTGCCTAACCCTGGTCTAGACCTATGACTATTGTGAAGTTACACAGCACTAGCTTTACAGCCTCACTTAAGTTGGAGATAGAAAGGTCTAGCTATCTATTCCATCCCCTGGAGATAATGTAGAATGTTTCCCTGTAGTGTGTACTCAGGTGGTTTGGTCCAGTCCGGATGGGACTTCTGTCATTGTGAGAGCTGGGGGAGCTGATGCCAACCTAGTCTGAAAATATCCCCCTTAAACTTAGCTGAGCCCTGTTATCCCTAAGTATCTCGCTATCCTTGCATGAACAGTTCTTTCTTGTTGGTGGTGTTTACACACTCTAGCAAATATACAGAGAAGTCATATTCCTTGTCATTATTTTTTTAGCTCAGAGAAACACACTTAGATCCACTCTAGTCAGGTTTACGCCACAGATAATCCCAACTACTTCAATCTCTGTGCCTGCAGTAGGATTGCAAGAGTGTAAAACAGATGATAATATGGGGCTTAGCTGTTTTTTCCTAAAAATTCCAGCCCTCCAGTCTCTTAACCATTTTGCATTTTTTTTTAAATCTCTCTTTAAAATTTTTATTTGTACGATTGTTTGTTTGATGGGAGATTCAGGCCTCTGCAAAACTAATTGTAGCATTTTAGGTGAGGTCCTACCCATGGCACAAGCAGGAAAAATTCTTAGCATGAAAACTCGCCATGAAAAGATCTACCCCACCCTGCTACCTTTTGTGTTGGCTCCATGAAGCTCCTGCTTCCTGGGCTGCTCCAGTGTCATAAACTGCAGGTCTGCATATGTCACTTCTTCTGCCATTTCTTGCAAAGTTCTGATACAAATCAAAGTTAGGGCTGAGCATGCAGAGGGAGAACCAGACAGATGTAGTTCGAGCTGTGATCATTCAAGCACCTGCTGTCATTAGGAAGTGATTCATGTAAAGTCAAATGGAGACTTTGGTTCATGCCTGAGAGTTTTATGACACAAAAATTCTGAGGCCTTGGAGTGTTGTCTTTTATATACTGTGAGAACTTTTAAAATAGATTGACAGGGTTATATATGTATCATCTTCTGACTAAGGAGAAATGCAGCTAGCACGGGTTATGGAACCGCTGTCTTCTTATCATGCCTAACCCTTGCAAGGCTGCTGCTTCCAGGGGGTGGGTGACCACTAGTGGGAACTGAAAGTGGCTCTTCTTGGCTTACAGATGAATTACAGTAGATCAGCAGATGGGGGAATTTAAGACCCATCACACTCTGAACCCTTGCTAGCCAGAGGACAGGAAAAGGACTTGAGTTTGTGTGTCATGCCTGTCAGCCCAGAACATTGACTCACCGGCTGCATCCAGATGAGCAGGCATGTGCGGTTTGTGGTGCCGCAAACCTCCTTGCTGTACCACAGACTGCATGTATTGCATGTTAAACCATGCCCCGTGTTGCTAATGTGCAGCACTGGGGCTAAATTTGCTACTGGGATTTCTTAGTAGCAAAAAAAAAAACCCATGCAAAGCACGCCAAAGTGCAGTATACCAGGACAAACGTGGAAATGGGGGAGCAGGCAGCCCAGGGCCATGGAGTCCTCACAGTGAGGCATGCAGAGACAAGAGAGCAGCCAGCTCAGGGCTGCCTGCTCTCTTGTCTCACAGCATGGTGCGCTCCAGTTAGCTGGGGTGTGGTTGGCTGGCACACAGGGTGCCTCAGTGCAGGGACTCCACAGCACAGAGACAGGGCAGCAGGAAGCCCTGGGCTGCCTGCTCCTCCCTCTCCATATGGCACTCCTGGGCTGGCTGTGTGGGAGCTGCCTACCAGCTAGCACTACATTGAGACATGCTGTGCCCCAGCCAGCCCCCCTCTGCAGCACATAAAGCAGTGGGACAACGTGTCCCACTGCAAACTGCATGAGCAGGGGCATGCACTGCAGCACAAAATAGCAGCTTTGTTTGTGCTGCTGCAAACGTACGTCCCTGCTTGTGTGGATGCAGCCACAGAGGACAAAAACCCAAACCCTGCAGCATTCTCAGCAGCCATCAGTATGCCGGCCAATAGGCTAGTACTGGGCAGTTTTGACTGCTGTTCTGTAGGTGGCTGCAGTCTTGCCTCTACAGCATCCCTAGGCAGAGGGCATGAGAAGTCAGAGGCTCCGTTCTCCTGTGAGAGGATTGCTATAGCTGAAAATAATGTGTAATGCATTTGAGGTTACCTGAGGTCATGAAGAAGATGAACATTCATCAAGTTTTACTGTCCAAAGTCTAGGAGACAGCACATTTTGTGCCCAGTTCCAGACAATTCCTTACGTATATCCTTCTGTGGAACAAAATGTACACAATGACGGCACCATGCAGCAGCGTAAAACCCAGTAATCCCCAAGCAGGTGGCACAGTTAATTATAACAGGACTCCATCTTATTAAGTCTCCATCAAATCCTCTAAGGTTTGTGTAGCAACCCCCATGGAACTTGGATGGAGGAGCACAAATTGCAAGGGAGAAGAGTTTGGATGAGGCACCAGAAAGCCAGTCTATGTGGACATGGCAAAAATGCAAGCTAGAGCTGGTGCATCTATGTTTTAGTTGTCTCAGTAAAGAGCCAAGTTAATTTTACAAGCAAAGCAATGTAGGACTGGAAGGGGCTTCATGGGCCATTACGTCCAGTCTCCAGCCTTTCCAGGAACCATTTGTCCAAAGGAATTCACAAATATATCCACTCTGACCCCTCTTGCACACCGCAACTACAAGGCACTTTATAAAAAAGACATTAGAATATGCCTGAGGGAAAGATCAGGAGAGACAAGGGCACCAACAATGCTTTACCTCTGCAGCGGCAGGGAGTTAGCCCTTTTATGCAGTACATGGACTGTGGGTCTACTCCATATGTAGTTGAAGGGGAAAAAAATGAAATTCTTGTGAAACCCAAGTTCTTTTCCATCTTTTGTGTTTCTAAATATGCAAGGAAAAATATCAGATGTGTGATGAGGCTGGTCTTATCAAAACAGTCCTCAGAATTGTGATAAGGCATGAATAACTTCGAAGTTTCCATCAACTAAGAGTTGCACAGCTAATTTTCTTCTCAAATCTACAAGTAGATATGCTCCCAGGTGAGACTGGGTTAGCTCAAGGAAGAAGTTGTGTGTAGTCTATACATGTTTTTACGCATGCAGTGTGCACATATCCTTAAGCGGACCTTGTGAATAAGGAACTCCCCTTTATCTACATCTACCAACTATGCCTTATGCAGAGCCCAAGGGTGGATATGTATAAATCTGTGGACCATTGAAATCTTCAGCAACACAGAAGAACATATTTGAAAGACAATGGTGTTTTTAAGCAATTGTGTACATCTGTTCTCTCAAGCTTATAATTGTAAATATTTAAAGAGAAGAAAATTTGGTGAGAGAAAATTCACTTTCATATCAAATAAATCAAAGAACAATAAAACTGCTTGATAATGAGGAAAAGTATTACATTGATGTGAAGGGAATTCATCTATAACTATTTAGTGGACTAACAAGGCTATATTTGAATTACAGTTCTATTGCCACAATATTGTTAGACACACCACAGGAATTAAAGCAGTTTAGTAAACAGTGTCGAGCCAGCATGAATAATCTCTGAAGGCTGCTGTTTCAGATGCCAGAGTTGTTCTTTCATTAGAGAAACTTTTATCACTTAGCATGCTATTTCTCCAACTCTGATAATTCTAAAATTGAAATTCTCTTTTCACTAATAGTTAAAGTCTGACTGACAGTATGTTGTCAATGACTATCAAACTAAAAAAAAAATCTAGAAAGGTTTGGGCTTCTGTACTTGATGATATATGACCAACCAGATTCTTTACCAGTGTTAATTTGCCAGTGTTCTTTGCCAGTGTTAATCAGAGTAGGTCAAGTTGACTTCAAAGAAGTTATGCTAATTTGCACCATCTTAGTATTTGACAGCTGAAAGATTAAACAGAGCAGGAAGATTAAATTGAATTTTTTAACAAGAAATGATCATGTATTTAGGGTTGGCATGAATCCTTTGTAAATTCAATGACAAGGTCCCCTCCTCCTACCACCCCTACTCCCTCCTAGCTCTACTTGTGTTAATTGTAAGTTGTTAAATTAGACTGAGTTTTTTACTTTGCAGCTAGGTTGAGCCCACACAGATAATTTGCGCTTTTTTCTTTTGTTATTTTGTATTGAGCCATATCAGTTCTAAATGTTGCATTTAATAAGAAAGCTGCTGAGCTGACATGTATGTGTGTATGCTATTTGTTCTTTTCAAGCTTCTGTGATATATTGGGAAATTTAAAAGAGAAAGAAAGGAAAGGTGAGAACAAGAAAGTGGAACAACGTACAGGCGGACAATAAGTCCCTTGGGGGCTCCCACCATTACTCAAAATGCACTCCAAGTTCAGAAACTGGCTTAGGTACAAGAATGATTAGATAGATAGATAGATAGATAGATAGATAGATAGATAACCTAAGAAGAACACCCCAAAGCTATTTTGCAAGTTGCTCACTCATGCTCATATACACGTTTTTATAATTGGGTTGGTGGATGGTTTCTTAACCTCTGTTTGAGGGAATGAGTGTGTTATGTTCCAGAATCCATTTGTTCTGCTCTGTGGCTATAATAGGCATGACTGGAGCTAATGATTCACTTGCCTAATGTGGATACAACGTGATCACAACATGAAGTAACAAGTCTCCTTCATCACCGCCCTGTTCACTTCTTTATCACCGTTCCCCAACAACATTCTTCTATACCAGTCCTGGGTGGTTGCAGGGCACAAATGGTAACACATTACTAGGGAGCATTTTCCTATTTCAGAATTGGAAACAGAGAAAGCAAACTTAATTACATACATGTAATCACTCAGTGGCTACTCGTGAGCAGGAATGTAATAGAAATTCAAAGTGATTATACAAAGGGGAAAATAAGAGAGCATTAAAAGAAGTCTGTTAAACTGAAGAGCTTGAGGGAGAATAGCAATAAATATAGTAGGAGACGCAACAACACATTCTGTCACAGAAAAATATAAGTGGTTGAAGGGCATTGGAAGAACTGGGTGGGGAGCAAGGGGTTTCACAGAAGGACTGAGGAGCATCAGCAGAGCTGTGTGGGGAGCCCAGATTGCAATACCAGATGGAGGGATTGGAGGGCAGGTTGGAGATGCATCAACAGAGGCCCAAAATGGAAAAGGCACCAATGGAGGAGTAATGGACACTGTATTAGAAATGTGCTCCAGTACTTCTCCCATGCCTGCCCACTCTGCACAGGAGGAGCTTCCCAGGTGCAGTGAATATCCCCTCTATTCTGAACCTGAACTTCTGGTTAAACTCAACATGCCAGATCAGCAAAAGTAAAACAATGTAAGTGGGGCAGGAAGGGGTCTGCATGTGGGAGGAGAGAGAGGAATATCGTCTTGGGTAAAGGGATGGGTCAGCAGCCTGACCTTCAACCTGCACCATTTTCCCTGGGGAAGGGGGCGGAGAGAATGGTAATTGGGAATGAATGAGGTTAGAGCAGCCTTGTCTCCATAGAAGAGAAGAAGTTCTCTCAAGACCAGAGTTGTATCTTTTTTTCTTTGACTCCATGGACCAGATCAATTGGAAATATAAATCTAATGACTAGTATCTTCAGAGGTCCTCCTGCAGTGATTGAATAGTATCTGAGTTCCCTTTAGAAGAGGAAGAAAGAGAGTAACAGAAAGAAACAGACACAAAGAGATGGACAAACACGAGTGGAGAGAAACAGAGAAAGAAACAGCCAGAACAGTGTGAGAGAGAGGAAGAAGACCTGGGCTTCAGCAAGTGGTGGAATAAAGAGAAAGGGGATCACTCCTATTCCCTTCCCTGAATTGAGGATCGGCGAGGATGCACTGAATGTAGGAAAGAAGGACGGACTGTGGGTTACATGTGAAAGCAGAGACCTCTCTAATGCCTCATGGGGACCCATAGCCTGGCCATGACCCTCTTTACCCTGGCAAGTCTCTTGTGGGTGAGTCGCATCACAAGTTCCTCTTTTGTCAAGTATAGCATCTGGCTATGGTATTACCTCAGTACATTTATAGGGTGTCAAAAGCTGATGTGAAATAAAATTTTCCCTGTTATTTCAAAGTAGTGGGAATATATAGAAGAGTCCATACAAGACAGAAGGTCATTCAAAGCTGTAATGGGGAAGACATAGAAAATAAATGTAGACACGTGAAGCAAGAGAACAAGTGGAACAGAACTATAGTGAGGAATGATAGAAAGTACAGGTGACTAACCGCAGGTTCCCAAGAGGCACAGGAGAATTCAGAGCTGTAATAAGCATGATGCTGATGGCTCAGTATTTGACAGTGGAAGGGAATTCAGATGTGTAACTCAGACTGTAGAAAGTGGGTGATAGTTTGCACAGAGAGAAAAGAAGAGAATTTGGGATCTGTAATGGAAGCAATGACAGCTGGGATGTAAAACCGTGACAGAGGAATAGATACAAATATGGTAGGGTGAGTGAGAGGGATAATAAAAGGTGTCTCAGAAGTGAGCCTTTCCAGGCTGGGGCTTAGGACCAGCATTGGGAGAAATAAAAGACAGGATGATACCAAGACATCAGGGAGCCCAAATCAGGACAACTAACAATTATTGCCTCTGCTCGCTTTTTTTCCATGTAGTTTCCACAAGTGCAATGTGAGGAGGTCTGTGTGAACACTGAACAGTAAGTATATGAACATCCTGAATTGGTTCTGAAACAGGGCAGCGTAAGTATGGATTTGAGAAGGCTCCACTGATGGTATTTTCCATGGTCTACTACAAGTGAGCTGCCATAGTGATGGTGCAGATTCCCACAAGAAACTAATGCAGACAGAATGTGGGGTTTATTTGAAATTATTTGCCAAAAAATTCCTAGAAATAAATCTTGCTCTGCAGCTGATTCGTAAGCAATTCATTCTAAGTCGTCTGCAATATGAACTTGAGACATACTGACTAGATCTGATTGGACACATAAGTCGTGCTTCTGCGTCCTACATAAGTAGTACTTCTACTTCCTACCTGGATCAGTTTAACACTTATCGGGCGTGTCTACATGTGCTTTTATGTGCACCCAAACTTAATGTGCATTTGCCTAAAGTTTATGCTGTAAGTAGCCTTGATTAGAGTTATGAATTTGAAGTTTTCTACATGAATATATACTTCAATTTACTATTTCTTGGAAAAATGATATGGACATTTTCAAGAATCTTAACAGAAAGTGAATGCAAAGCAAATATTAAAGCATCCAAGAAAAAATTGATTTTTATTAATGAAATTTTGGGCAAACTTTTTTTTTCAGATGCTTAACTAACTATAAGTAAAGTAATGTACTTTGTGCACGAGGGATAGAAATACAGAGAAAAAAAACAAAACAGCATTGTTGGAAGACCTAATTTATGAAGAGAGATTAAGAGAAGAGAGTTTTAGAAATTATAACTCTCTATTAGTAACAGTAACTGAAAGTTGTAAACAGAATAGGAGATACATGCATGAGAAGAAGGACAAGGAACAAGTGGGCCAAAGCCAAGCAAAGACAAAGATTTCAGGCCGGATCTTTAATAGAGAGATTTATTGGAATATTGTACTTGGTGTGAGTAGTGGAAGACCCTCACATAAGTAATTTAAAATTTGGGGGACAGATTTGCCCACAGGCAGTCATCAGCTGGAGTGGAGAGGGGAGGTGCCATGGGACAGTAGAGAAGACAAAGATGGATTTCCCTATCTGTAACTTCCAGGTTTTTCTGTTATGACCTTTTTATTGCTCCTTTTTCTCAGATGCTCAACCACTAACTGGGTCCACCTCTGGTACATCTGGTAAGTTTGCGTGTGCATCCCTCCATAAATATCTGGTTTAGCTGTCACTTTAGTTACTGAGCAAACACAAGAATTAAGATTATTTAATGCCTCAAATCTTCCACTTGGCCCCCTCTAATGTTGTAAAAGTTGTATTGCATTTCTCCATTCTTCCTGGGTTGCATTAGTGTTACCACATTATCTTGGACAGACCTTAGTGTCTCTCTCTCCATCTCAGTTACATATTCCTAATAAATATATTAAAGATAAGATACATCATACACAGAATGTTTTTATGATATGGCCAGGTGGGGGGTGACATTTTTTAAAGGACTGTCTCCTTATAGTTTAATAATTGCAGTTGAATCATGTATTACAATTCCTTCAATGCCTGCACTAACATGTGTGGTAGTAACTGTGTTCCCTCTCCCTTTATAGGCTAGTGGTAGCTATTGGTGGGCTTCTACTCTTGTGTGGCATAGTCTTAACCTGTGTGAGGTGCTGCTGCCTTAACTGTTGGAGGGCTGGAGAAGAACCAGTTCCTCACCCATATGAGGTTACAGTCATCGCCTTTGATCATGACAACACCCTCCAGAGCACAATTACATGTGAGTGTCACCTTGCAAAAGCCAAGCTCCTTACAAGGAAGGCTGAGAGACCTTGAATGAAACTTTTTGAAAGGTTCTAGTACCCATAATATCTTCATTCATGAGCCCCACAAGTCTTATATTTTCTCTGTGTGTGGTGGGGGAGTAGGGGGTGGCAGGTTAGGGAGCAAGGCTGGTATTAGATGAGGGTAGGTTCATTATGTCACTTGGTGGAGTGATGATGGGAAGGTCCTCGGCCCCATGTCCCACCACATACAGCAAATTATCTAGTGCTGCAGAATGGGAGGACTTGGTATATAGGGGCACTTGTACATGTGATGGGGGTTTAGTTGCCTAAATTGAAATGATGGGTTTTAATTGAAATGATTAAAAACCCACTGTTTCCAGTTAGGGGCTTCCATCACTGTTATGGCAAGGGGCCTGATCCTTTTTTTTCTTCTCTTAACACAGCCCCTGGCCCTTTTTTCCATGGCAGCAGTTCCCCCTGGGGCTGCCCAGGCAGGCTGCTAGCAGGCGGATGCTGCCTCAGCTCAGCCTCAGGGAAGAGTTTCCTAGTTTCATAGTTGTTAGGGTTAGAAGGGGCCTCAATAGATCATTGAGTTTGACCCCCTGCCCTGGGCAGGAAAGAGCACTGGGATTAGATGACCCCAGCCAGCTGCTTGTCCAGTGTCGTCTTAAAGACCCCCAAGGTAGGGGAGAGCACCACCTCCCTTGGGAGCCCATTGCAGATTCTGACAACCCTTACTGTGAAGAAGTTCTTCCTGATGTTCAACCTAAATCTGCTCTCTGTCAATTCATGGCCATTGTTCCTGGTTATTCCAAGGGGTGCCCTGGTAAACAGAGCATTTCCTATTTCTTGCTGCCACCCCCCACCTCCCCTCCCCAGCAAGGAATTTGTAAATGGCCACAAGATCTCCTCTCCACCTTCTTTTGCAGAGGCTGAAAAGATTCAAGTCCCTCAGTCTCTCCTCATAGAGCCTTACCTGCAGGCCCTTAACTATACAAGTGGCCCTCCTCTGGACCCTCTCAAGGTTGTCCACATCTCTCTTGAAGTGTGGCATCCAGAACTGGATGCAGTACTCCAACTGTGGCCTGACCAATGCCGCATAGAGGGGAAGTATCACTTCCCTGGACCTGTTTGTGATGCACCTGATAATGCATGATAGAGTGCAGTTAACTTTACTGATTACTTCATCACATTGACAGCTCATATTCATTTTGGAGTCAATTATGACTCCAAGATCCCTTTCTGCTGCTGTGCTGCTGAGAAGGTCATCCCCTAGCTTATAGGTGTGTTGGTGATTCCTTCCCCCTAGATGCAGCACTTTGCACTTGTCTTTGTTGAACTGCATCCTATTCTGTTCTGCCCACTTTTCCAACCTGTCCAGGTCCACCTGGATTTGATCTCTTCCCACTAGTGTATTTACTTGTCCCCATAATTTCATGTCATCTGCAAATTTGGACAGAGTGCTCTCAATGCCTTTATCCAAATCGCCGATGAAGACATTGAATAGCACAGGTCCAAGGACCGAGCCTTAGGGGACCCCACTGCCCACATCTTTCCAGGCTGAAACTGACCCATCCACCACCACTGTCTGGGTGTGACCCTTAAGCCATTCGCCTCCCACACCTGACCGTGTAATCATCTATGTCACAGCCACTCAGTTTGCTTATGAGAATATGATGAGATATGCTATCGAAGGCCTTCTTAAAATCCAATTAGATGATACCTACCTCACCTCCTGCATCTAAGCATTTTGTGATCTGGTCATAAAAAGAATCAAAGTTGGATCAGGCCAGGTGCTGCCACCAAGCTAGGGCAGCACCTGCCTGCTAGCCACCCAACGGGGCAGTCCCTGGGGGTACCACTGCCATGGAGGGAAGGACCTGAGCCCCCGACAGCTCAGGGTTCACCAGCAGCTCACTGCCCAGCTGCAGGCGAGGAAGGAAGGCTCTACAAAATAAAAAATAAAAAAAATTAGGCCCCTCAATGCTTTTTTTTTTTCTCTCCTGGTGGAGCCTGCTCACATGAGCTGCTGCCAGGCCACACAGCCCCAGAGTTGTGGGGGTGCCTGGTCCTTCCCTCTGTGGCAGTGGTGGCCCGGGGCTACTTGGGTAGGGTACTAGCTGCATGGGAGCTGCCCCACCTCAAAGGCAGCACCCACTGGATCCAACTCTTCCTCAAGTCTGCACGCTGAACCCAGCAAGTGTACTTTTCTTTGCCTTCTGACAAGTTGATGGTTTCTGGTTTAAACTAATTATTGTTCCCATCCCTTTTAGCTCTCCACTCTGTGTTCGGTCCTGCTGCCAGGAGGATACTGGCTGTGGCACACTCCCATAACACTGTACAAGGAGCACCACCCCTTTGTGGATCAGAAACGCCCCCAGTGTATGAGGAAGCCCTACGCATGAGCAGGTTCACTGTGGCCCAGGCTGGACACAGAGCCACAGACTTCGCCCCAATACCAGAGGAAAAACAACAGGCCTCAGCTGAGAAAGAAAATTCACAACCAAATCTCCCGTGATGCTATCACTTCTGACTTTATTCAGCAACAAATGGGCACATCTACATGTGCACTTTACTGTACATTAACCTATTTAATGCGCATTAAAACATCACTAAAAAACCATGCTCTTTAGTTAACGTGCATTTTCTTAGTACCTCACCATGGAGCTACTAGATTTAATGAGCATTGACTAAAGTGCATTAATGCACATGTAGACATTAATATTCAGGGAAAGAATCTAGATCTGTACTGACTGGGTACAGGACACGTTTGATTTTTTCTCTGTTTTTGTCTAAAGTCATGAACAAGGAAAGAAAATAACTTGATTTTCAGTTAGGCTATAGTCCAGAGTATTTTTGTAGAGCTCTCTTGTTCAGTCTCTGAGAGCTGGGATTGTTAATCAGTTATTAATATCCATTGTTACTATTTATTGCATTTATTACCCATAGCAGTAAGATGCTTATTATTGTAGTACCAAGCACCATAGGTGGCACATACAATAAGCTGACAGTGCTGTACTGTTGATGCACTCTAATAGAAGATGCAAAAACCCTGCACTGAGGTGCAGCAGCTTCTTTTGGAAGAGTACAGACACAAGATGCTCCATTTGGTGGGGTTTCTACAGTAAATTCAGCCTGACTATAAGGGAGGTAACAACGATTCATTAGTCAGAAGGGACAAGAGCGATTTGATGGGAGGAAACGTAGGAAGAATAAGAACTGGAGAGAAGCCTTTATGTTCTGTGGTTATCAGTAATCTTGTTAATAAAATCAACCTCTTGAGACTTTATAGCCAGCCTCCATGTTGTGTAATGGTAAAAGGATGAAGTTAACATAATTCAGTGTGCTGTGTAATTCAGAGCAAGGCAGGACTACCAGCTGCTTATTTAAGTGAAATAGCATACTGAGGTAGCTATTGTGTGTGTGGACACACAGGTACAACTAGTTCCAGTTTATCTTAGTCCAGGCTGCTCCATGTGCAGAGAAACATTCACATTTGAATTAAGCAAATGCAATATTTAGACTGACAGATGAGACAGAGATGAGACAGAGATGCTATGTGGGAAATAAAGCTCATTCAGTGTTTTCATTGCATCTGTATCGCAATGCTTATTAATATTACTAGAGCAGATCAGACTATTCAAGCTGAATAATATTCAGTGGGTGCATCTACATGTGCATTAATGCACTGTTGCTACCACAGATTAAGTTTAGTACTTCTAATATGAGATACTAAATAAATGCACAATAGCCAGTGCTAATGCACAATAGCAACTGCGCACAGTCTTTTTGTGATGGTTAATGTGAAGGAGACTAAGTCTACTGTACTTTAGTGCATTAGTATGTTTTTTGTCATGGCACACTAATGTGCAGTAGAATTAGTCTACTGTGCATTGTCTTGTTTAGACACACCTAGTATAAATGTAAGTCACTCCTCTGAACCTTAAGAACTAAGTTTTCAAAACTATTTAACAAATAGTTTGTACGAATAAGTTTCAACCTATAGATTCCTTTAGAAATCTTACCTTGATTAGGAACTCTTTCTGAAATCTAATTAGTTTTCTCAGTTATGTGATTATTGGTTCTGCTTCAAGATGAGATGGGTGAAAAACATTTATGCAGGCAAATAGAAAATGACAAATCATGAATAATTACAAATTAATTCATGATAAATTGATAATGTGAACATGTAGATGGAGGTTAAGACATATAGGTCTTTATGTCTGTATCAAAAGTGCATGTATATGACGCTATGATTTTGTTGGGACAGTCACAGGTGTCAGAAACCATGGGTCTGAAAAAGTGCTTTGACTCTCACAATGTTCCATGCCATCCGATCAGAGATGAGACTGTGCTGTTCATGGGAAGTGTAGATCAATCTGTAAGGTTGGGTTACTGAAGGGAGTGCTAGCAATCCCCCTGAGGCATTGCACCACAGTAGAGAAATACAGCCAGTGACATAGTTGGTCAGATGTTGCAATCATGCTTGGAAACCTTGATGTGAGTATTGCTCTTTTTTTCTACAACTCTGATGTGGACTTCATTAAAAATTCCTGTACCAAAATCATAGCCTTACATATAGGCCCCTTGTCACTGTAGGATCTGAGTGCTTTACTGTCCTTATTATGGTATTTAGCCTCATAACCCATTATGAAATCAGGGAACATTATATGAATAGAGAACTGGGTCATAGTAAGATGAAGGCCCAGACCATTAAAGGCTTTTATGTACCTAACTCTCACAGAAATCACAGTAAAGGGATGCTTAAAGGAGGGTTTTGAAGGAAGATGATGGAGCAACTTGGATGATCCAATCAATAGGGATTAGGTGCCTAAATAACTTTGGGTATCCAGACATAAGTGTCTTCCTAAAGATCACAAGGTAAGTCTGCAGCAGAGAAGGTCTCAACCAGTTAAGAAAATTCCTGAATCCCTGATAATTTTCTTGTATTACCCAGTTGTGTCTAACTGGTTACTACTAGGAGCAACCGCAAACTATTGACTTCTGAATAATTTTCAAAACTCTTTTTCCACAATTCACCTTGAATTATTACTAATAATTATTTTCTGGGGTATTGTAAATTCTCAATAATCTCATCCAGTAGTTGGTTTTAATCCAAGTCAAATATGATGACTCCATTATGTGGTTGAACATTTCCTGGAAAATTCTGGGTGACTCTGCTATAAAAATCTGGAACAGATGGTCACATTTCCACTTGCTGACTCTTTGCACAGGTCTGCCAAGTATACAGAGTTTCAGGAATCCTTAAAGATCTTCTTCCATTTAAAACACAACATACCTTCACTTCCTCCACCCTTCCAGAGCTTGGAGTAGAAGTCCAGTATTTGACACTTCCGTGTGTTTAGCACTAGAGGTCACTCATGCTTCAGCACTTTAGGTTTTGGTAGGGAGCATTGTCATGGAGCAATAAAGACCTGGCTAAAACAGAATTGTACTCCCTTCCAGCCAGCTGTCCCTCTTTCACTCACTACAAAACACTGTCTTGCTTGTTATGCAGCCCTATCACCCGTATGCTACCTTTGATTCAGCCATTTCTGTGGGTTTCTGCATCCGAGTTCTCTAAATCTTGCTGATTGTTTCTGGGTAAAATATGGCTTTTCCAATCCATGCGCAAAGCTAAAACTAGTTTGAGGGCTCGCCACTTTGCATCTGACTTACTCCAACAACATTTTCAAATGATGCAGTTATGCCCTGCTTCTGTCCACTTAGAACGCTGCTGCAAAGATATTTTTCCAGCCGATCATTTTGACCACCATGCCTCTCTGGGGAGACCGTCTCCACTTGGCTGTTTTTCCTCTAACATAACAAATATAAGCTATTTGTCTTCCCTTTCACAGTCCTTTATATAGCCTCTCTTTCCTTGAACTGTCATCCACGATGCCCACCTCCTTCACCCATTGCAAGTTACATTTTTTAATAAGTACCTTTGTGCTTTTTGGCATGCTTACCCTCTTGCTTGGGAGAAGTTTATCCACAAAGATGCCTCCATGTTTTAAAACCCTCCTTAAAACTCTTTTGCTGTGATGCACAAAGAAAACCTGGCAATGATTAGACTGATGGCATGCAGAGACTCCTGCTTACCATGCTGACAAACATTATCTTGCTGTTCCCTTATACTCTTGCACTGGTCTGTCTATATCCATTTATTGTCCCTTCAGTGGTAAAATAGTTGGCTCAGGGGCTTTTGTTCTGTGTTTCTACAGTTCTGGAACAATGGGATCTGTCCATGATTAGGGTTCCAGAGTACCATAAAATAATGATAATAATACATTTCACCTGCTATAGGCTTGTGTTTTATTACTTTGACCTCAGATGAGCCTGGAATTAATTAAAATGTCATTGTGTCACTGTATAAGTCTCTGGTACACCTAGACTTTGAATACTGCACATAGTTCTGGTTCCCATACCCCCAAAAGCATAGAATGGAACTAGAAAAGATATAGAAAAGGGCAACGAAGATGGACAGGGGTGTGGCAAGACTTTTGTACAAGGACAGACCAAATATATTAGGATTTGTCAGCTTGCATAAGACATGGCTGAGGGGCACTGTATTTTGGCATATGCTCCTCATCTTTTCCACCAATATCAGCTGGGGAAAATTAGGGTGCATATTATATGTGAAGAAAAGGGTTCCCCACATGTCCAGAAATTTAGGGGGGGTGGGGCAGGGAGAGGTACAGCAGTGACAGCATTAATTGCTGAAGCTCTGGGAGTCACAGCAACTAATGATGTTTCTGATCCTGTCCCCTGCCACCAAATTTCCAGACCCATAGGGAACCCTACTTCCTGACTGTGCACGCAAATGGGCTAGCACACAGGGTTGGTTTGACCTAGCACAAGTCATGCTGGATCTGACCTGGCACATGGCCCTGGATTTGGCTTGCCATTTCTCACCCCATACACTGGCTCCAGAGCCATGTGCTGGGTCTGATCCCACATGCTGCCTCTGGGGTTGTACAGTGAGCCTGAGACCATGTGTTGGCTCTGGAGCCATGTGCTAGATCCAATCCAGACTTGGCACACAGTCCTGGGCTCAGTGTATGACAGTGCAGGCAATGCACGTGGTCAGACCTGGCATGTGACTCTGAACTCAGCAGTTGATCCCAGGCTCAGCACACAACCCAGATGGCAGCACACAGGGTCAGACACAGCATGTGGCTCTGGAGCCAGGGCATATCTCCAGACTTTTCATGTGGCCGCAGACTTGACCCACTGGATCTGACCTGGCATGTGCTTCATGAGCTAGCATGCAGAATCAGACTGGACATGCACCCCTGGACCCAGCATGCCAGGTCAGACTGCAGGCCCAACCAGTGTAAAAGGCTGACGGTAGGCTCAGGAGTGGGCTCAACTCCCTAGCTGCCACCACTAACTTACCTTGATCAAAATTTATTTATTTTTCCTACAGGCTTCCCTGCAAAATCAAAGCATATACTATACACAGGGGCATGTTATTTGTGAAACAGTATGGTAGTCAAGTTCTATTATTCTGGGAATTAAGCCAGTAGAACAGAAGTCCTAGACTTCAGAAGAGCAGACTCTGGTAAACGCAGGAGACTAGTTAGAAAGGCCTTCCGTGACCAGCAACTGGATGATTTGGAAGTTCAGGATCAGTGAAGCTTCCTTTAGGGGGCAATTTTCACTGCTCAAAAAGAGGTGAAAAAGCAGGGAAGGGGCCAAGAGACTCCTTTGGCTCAACAAGTATATTTTGAAAAAGAAAAAAGAAGCATATAAGCAATGGAAAAACGATTTAGCATTCAGAGAGGAGTACAATCATATGGCCAGGGTCTGCAGGTATCAGACATGGGAAGCCAAGGCAGGCAGGGAGATCAAGCTGGCAACCAAAATAAAGGACAACAAAAAGTCCTTCTATAGGTATATATGGAGCAAGAAAAAATCAAGCTGTACTGTGGGACCCCCTACTAAATTCGGGGGTGATTGGGGCAACCCACATTTGATCCCCACGAAAAGGCAGAGCTCCTAAATACTTACTTCACATCGGTATTCCTGAAATCAGATGGGAGCTGCTCACCTGTCCAGAGGCCCAGCAAATATGGGAAAGACAACAGTCCATATGAAATTAGTCCTGAAGAGGTACTCTTAGAACGTCTGGATGTGTTCAGGTCTGCTGGGCCAGATGACCTGCATCCAAAAGTCCTGAAAGAACTGGCTGAG